GAGTGACCCTGGGATAACCACGTTGCCCTCAGGCTATGGCAGCCACTGTTACGGTAGTGGAGGAAGCCACTAACATCACCCTAGGACAACCACTGGCAGTTCTAACCCCCATCAGGTAGTCAGTTTTACAGATAAGGGACACAGCTGGATGACAGGGGAAAGGTTAACCAAACACCAGGCCATGCTCCTAGGTGATCCAGATGTAACCCTTAAAACCTGGAACACACTGAATTCACTTTTATTGCTGCCCACAGGCCCAACAGCAGATCATTCCTGCAAGCAGGTCATTGCACACACATATGTTAGCTGGCCTGATTTAAAAGACCAGCCTCTCCCAGATTCTGAGAGGATGACTGGTGTACAGATAGCAGTAGTTTTGTGTCAAATGGGACATGCCAAGCTGAATATGCATAGCAAATTATAACACAATGATTGAAGCCCAGCCATTGCCCCTGCACATCAGCACAAAAGAATAAAATTAGTGCTCTTACTCTAGCACTAATATTGGGACAAGAAAAAAACCTTAACATCTATACAGATTCTAAATATGCATTCCTTATTGTTCTTGCTCACGCTGCCATCTGGAAAGAAAGGAAACTGCTAACTAGTAAACACTCCCCTATAAAGGGGAATGATATTTCTTTTTTTTTTTTTTTTTTTTTTTAAATGGGGTTTCACCATGTTGGCCAGGCTGGTCTTAAACTCCTGACCTCAGGTGATCCACACACCTGGGCCTCCCAAAGTGCTAAGAAAACAGGTGTGAGACACTGCGCCCGGCCAAGGGGAATGATATTTCTTTTTTTTTTTTTTGTATTTTCAGGCACTAGAATATGTCTGTTTAATGTTTCAGTTTTTATATACATACAATTCTAAAAAACAGGCAACTCTGACAATCTAAAGGCTTTTACTGAAGCTTGGTCACAAAACATGATTTACACTGGCATTAAGTGATATTTCTACAAAAAATGAAAAAGCAGAGGCAACATAAATATAAGTAGACAGTTTTTTATGGGGGCCAAGCTTGAGGATTATAATATGAAAGCAAAGATTCAAGTTGCCTGAAATCTATACTTTGTTTACCACATGTTACAAGTGGATTTGTAAAGGCAAAAAAAGGACAGAGACTGGCCCTTCTTTGGTCTGGTACAAAGTTGTCTGTCAGAAATTCTTATTTACACAAATAACATTAATTATTGATTGCATGTACATCATTAAGGTTCAGAGTGTCCAGTGTGGCAGTATTAGTTTCATTCACAGCTACTTGTAGCAATAGCAAATAGTTTCAAGAGATAAATACACAGGCCGGGCGCTGTGGCTCACACCTGTAATCCTAGCACTTTGGTGGGTGGATAACCTGAGGTCAGGAGTTCAAGACCAGTCTGGCCATCATGGTGAATCCCCATCTTTAAAAAAAAAAAAAAAAAGGATGAATACACAGTTGAAAGGGGGAAAAGGAATAATTGTGCTCTCATTTTAAAGTCTCTTCAAGTTTAACAACTAAAATGACCTGCATTTCTCAGATATGAGTTTTTTAATTTTCTAAATCTCTAGACCTAGATTCAGAATTTGGAGCTGCAGATTTAGATTCTGGATAGAGTATCAGCAGGGGTTACCTGCACATTTGTGAACATTTCAGCAATAGGAGGAACTAGAAATACTCAGTGAATACATGTTACTCTAATTGGGTTTGTAAGCCCCATGGTCTCTAATCAGTTTCAGCTCTAAAGATAGGTAACCGAAAGAGGGTAAAATGGTTGATTGCAGCCCTGTGAAGTTTGTAGGAATCTGGTCTAGCCCCTCTAGAAGTGACTGTAGAGGACTATAAATACCAAATAGGCAGAGATATTATTCTGCCTGTGATAGCAGCACTTTGCAGCAAATTTGGGACTTGACTGGAAGCCTGAGAGGGTAAGGCCACTCCAGAGTAGATCCTGGGTGGCACTTTATATGTTTATTTTATATCTGGTAATTCTAGACAGTGTTTGGAAAATATCATTAAAAGAAAAATTTTTGGGTGAGGGGCAAAGGGAGGGACAGCATTAGGACAAATATTTAATGTATGTGGGGATTAAAATTAGATAACAGGTCGACAGGTGGAGCAAACCACTGTGGCACATGTATAACTGTGTCACAAACCTGCACATTTTACACATGTATCCCAGAACTTAAAATAAAATAAAGAAAAAATAATAATACAAATTTTTGGCTGAGTGTGGTGGCTCACGCCTTTAATCCCAGCACTTTGGAAGGCCAAGCTGGGTGGATCAGGGAATTCCTGAGGTCAAGGAGTTCCAGACCAGCCTGACCAACACAGTGAAACCCTGTCTCTACTAAAAATACAAAAATTAGCTGGGCATGGTTGTGCGTGTCTGTAATCACAGCTACTTGGGAGGCTGAGGCACAAGAATTGCTTGAACCAAGGAAGTGGAGGTTGCAGCAAGCCAAGATCATGCTACTCTACTCCAGTACTGGGCAATACAGTGGGACTCAGTCTCAAAAAAGTAATTTTTTTCTTCAGCCAGAGAAACTCCACTATGATAGAACAGAAAGAAAACTATTTTATTATACAAATAACTTAGAATGTGACATGCATCACAGCCAATCTGCCTAAGAGATGAGAAAGATGGTTATCATAATTAGTCTACACATAAAATAATTTACAGCACCACATCATACATAGTTTATCTTCAATTCACCTGGTAATTGGAGAAACCATCCATGTATGCTAATTGGCTATATTCAGTAATGAAAAAACTTTTTTTTTTTTTGAGACAGAGTCTCACACTATCACCCACCCAGGCTGAATGGAGTGCAGTGGTACGATTTCGGCTCACTGCAACCTCAGACTCCTGGGTTCAAACAATTTTTCTGCCTCAGACTCCCAAGTAGCTGGGATTACAGGTACACACCAGCACACCCGGCTAATTTTTTATACTTTTAGTAGAAATGGGGTTTCACCATGTTTGCCAGGCTGGTCTCTAACTCCTAACCTCAGGTGATCCACCCACCTTGGCCTCCCAAATGCTGGAATTATAGGTGTGAGCCACTGCACCCAGTGTCTACTTACATTTTAAAGCAATGGCTCTCTACTTCCTTACCACTAGGCTCCAGCACTCCTGCTTGCCCTCTCCTGATGGCTAGTGTCTTCTCAAGACCCCATCATCTGTCACTAAAACACAGCCCACAGCACAGCACAGGGCTCACAGTTGGAAGATCACTTTACGTGAAGAGTAATTGCCATATCAGCACTCCAGTGCCACATCAGAGAATGAAGCCTGAGCAGCAGGAAAAGAACCTTCAGGTGCCCTGGGTAAAATTTCACTTTCAGAATAATGCAACTGAGAGCACTGCTTCAGCTGCAGTTTCTATTAAAAAAAAAAAAAAAAGGTTTTAAAAAGTATTATTATTGAATATAGCCAATTAGCATACATGGAAAAATACTGCTGGATTTCCAGAATGAGTCTAGATAGAGATAGCTCCAGAGTTCTTGCTGTGACAGCCCACCTCATTCACAGACACCAAAGGATAGTAATAGGGTCTCTGAAACAGCCAGTCAGAGCATTGAAGAGAAAAACAGCCCTCAATTCTGAGAAAGATTATATTGAGAATAAAAAAGTTAAAAGCATCTATAAAATAATCACTCAGATGGCCGGGCACGGTGGCTCAAGCGTGTAATCCCAGTACTTTGGGAGGCCGAGGCGGGTGGATCACGATGTCAAGAGATCAAGACCATCCTGGTCAACAAGGTGAAACCCCGTCTCTACTAATAAAAAACACAAAAAATTTAAAAATTAGCTTGGCATAGTGGCGCGTGCCTGTAATCCCAGATACTCAGGAGGCTGAGGCAGGAGAATTGCCTGAACCCAGGAGGCGGAGGTTGCGGTGAGCCGAGATCGCGCCATTGCACTCCAGCCTGGGTAACAAGAGCGAAACTCTGTCTAAAATAAATAAATAAATAAAAACTCTAATTCAGATGCATTTTTTTGGTAACTCACTGGATTGAGAGAAACAAAATTCAGGATTCACCAACCAAAAACTGCCAATTAACCTCTGATCACATAAGCAGAAAAAGTATACATTAATCGTACAAATCAAGCAACAATGTAACTGTACCTAACCAGTTATTTAATTTTGTTTTAGTCATTGTGCACCTTTAAAAGTCTTTCCTTCAAGCTGCTCCCATAAACCACAAACTACAAACCACAGCTGGGCGGTCCACAGTTTTTGCATCACACTTTGATTAAATTTCTTCTAATTTTTTGCGGTGATGCCCATAATTTTTTTTTTTTTTTTTTTTTTTTTTTTTTGAGACGAGTTTCGTATTGTTTCCCAGGCTAGAGTGCAATGGCGCGATCCTGCCTCACCGCAATCTCCACCTTCCGGGTTCAAGCGATTCTCCTGCCTCAGCGTGCCGAGTAGCTGGGATTACACGCGTGCGCCTCCACGCCCTGATAATTTTGTATTTTTAATAGAGACGGGGTTTCACCATGTTGGTCAGGCTGATCGCGAAGTCCTAACCTCCGGTGATTCGCCCGCCTCGGCCTCCCAAAGTGCAACATCACTGGCGTGAGCCACTGCGCCCGACACTCTCATAAATTTGTAATAGGTGAAAAGAGGAACTGGGAACCCCCGGACCAAAGCTCTTCGTATTCGTGAACCCGCACCCTGAATCAGGATTCTCCCCCGATGACCCTCCCGTGGTCCCTGCACAATCTGGGAGAGACACGGCCCTGTGGATGCCGAGCCGCCCAGAGATGGCTCCAGGCCAGGACACAGTCACTGCCCAGGGAAGAGACAGGACGCCTGGGGCTCGCAGTCAGCGAAGCCGCCATCTTATTGCTGAAGGGGGCGGAGGCCGAGCTCGGCAAGCAGAACTCCGGAGAACTCCGGGCGCAGACTGTGGAGCTAACTGCGGGGAGGCCTGAGTCCCGCCACAGCCCCTTCCCCCCGATTTCAACCAGCCCCTCCCTCTCTCGGGATGTCGTACCCAGCACTCTCACCATTTCTAGGCTTCCAGAGGGTCCCGGCGTCTTAGCTGCGGATCTTCCAATTTATGTAGTTCGCAAGGCCACAGAGGCTGGGCCTCTAGGAGGAGAGGACACAGCAGAGAAAGTGAGACCTAGAGCTCCGGCTGCAGGGAGACACAAAAGTGCCGCCAAATCCCGGAAGCCGTCTTGTCTGCTCCAGCTGCATGCCTGATTGGACGGGTCCTAGTCCAGAGTTTCTGATTGGATAACGTTTAAGGTCCCGACCCTTCAGGGCCTGAGTGACAGAAGATGTGCTCAGACTCTGGGCTCAATGAAGAGTGACAGCCTAAGCTGCAGCCTTTGCAGCCAGGGCTTCTTTTATTAACTGAGCCAAGCCCATCCCAGAGGGTATTTGCATTTAACCTTGTGTATAAGATCATATACATTTACAAATGATATTCGGCTACTCACAAAAATAATGTAAGTATTATTTTAGAATTTCAGATTTTATGGCCTTTGAGGCTTCTGGTCCATTAAGTAGGGAGCTTGAGACTTTTAAAAAAGAGGCTTTCTGCAAGGGAGTGAAAAGCAAAAAAAAAAAAAAGAAAATAGCAAAAAAAAAAAAAAAAAGACAATCCTCTGAAATAAAATGTGAGCCATACGTGAATTTTAAATTTTCTAGTAGTCAGGCCGGGCGCGGTGGCTTACGCCTGTAATCCCGTCACTTTGGGAGGCTGAGGCGGGTGGATAACGAGGTCAAGAGATCGAGACCATCCTGGTCAATACGGTGAAACCCTGTCTCTACAATACAAAAAATTAGCTGGGCATGGTGGCGCGTGCCTGTAATCCCAGCTACTCAGGAGGCTGAGGCAGGAGAATTGCCTGAACCCCGGAGGCGAAGGTTGCGGTGAGCCAAGATCGTGCCATTGCACTGCAGCCTGGGTAACAAGAGCGAAAACTCCGTCTTTAAATAGCAAAAAAAGGAAATAAAAATAAATTTTTTAGCAGTCAAACTTTAAAAAGAAAAAAAAAAACAGTGCAATTGATTGTTACAATCTAATTAACCTAACATATCCAAAGTATTTAATATGGATGCAAAATGCAAGTATTAATGAAACACGCACACAAACACACACACACACACACATATATGGAACTAAATCTTTGAAAATAACTTTGTATTTTACCTTTATAGCACATTGTAATTCAGACCAGCCACATTCCAGGCTCCCAGTAGCCACATGTCGCCAATAGCTGCCACATTAAAGTGCAGCTCTGATGTCTGGTGGGTGAAGAGCCTGAGCATTCCTTTTTTGCCAGAGGGGAGGGGACAGCCTCTCTCTACCAACATCTCTTCAGTTCCGAGAAACAGTGACCACAGAACAAACAGAGGACAGAAATAATAAAATAACCAGAGGTGGACCTGTGGTTACCTGTGGTTATTTTATTATCCACTGCTGACCACCTGTTGCTCACCTTAATTCCAAACATCAGACAGTGAAAAAAGAATGATGAGGCCACAGCTGGGCGCAGTGGCATATGCCTGTATTCTCAGCTATTCGGGAGGCTGAGGTGGGAGGATCGCTTGAGCGCAGGAGTTCTGGGCTGTAGTGCACTATGCCGATCGGGTGTCCTCACTAAGTTCGGCATCAGTATGGTGACCTACCGGGAGCAGGGGACCACCAGGTTGCCTAAGGAATGGTGAATCGGCCCAGGTCAGAAACAGAGCAGGTCAAAACTCCCGTGCTGATCAGTAGTGGGATCGCGCCTGTGAATAGCCACTGCACTCCAGCCTGAGCAACATAGGGAGACCCAGTCTCTAAAAACAATAAAAATAAAAAAATGATGGAGCCACAGTCTTAACCTGCAATGTTTAGATAAGTAGGAAATACACTAAAGGCAAACTTATTTTGTGATTTGGCCTTGGTCCTAATGGTCAGGCTGTGGTTATCCGTTCTCTTCTGTGGTGTGGGGGACGGTGTGAGTATAAGCACCAATCACGCACAGACATGTCTACATGTGTTTTTTGCATATTTAATATTCTCTTACAAGACATGGACTTTAAATCAGGAATAAAGATGCTCTGAGGTTTTTCTTCTTCCCTTGGCACTGTGCACAGGGTATACTGTGACATATTGCGAAGTTCTGCATTCAGGTTATGTGACTCTTTTCTTTTACCTTGGCCCAGAATATTTTGCACAAGAAGACATATTACTAGCCCCAACATATATAAAATGTGGGGCCCTCCCCTGGGTTCCTTCTACAGAGGGACTTGTGACATATCTCTGCATCAATCATCTAAGAGATGTGATGCTTTATTTTTGCCTGCACTCTGCCCACAGGAAAAATGGTGACTTATCTCGAAGCCTAGGGACCAGATGGTGTGTCTCTCCTGCCTGGGCCTTGACCACAGGGAGTGTTGTTACTCATTGCTGGGCTCAGCACCCAGGTGATGCGACTTTGCTTCCTGTGTTCTGCTTTCAGAAGTAAGTTGTAACATATTTTTGGCTGAGAATTCAGGTGATGTGACATGCCTGTCTGGTCTCTGCCCTCAAAAAAGATTATGAGGCTGGGCGGGTGGCTCATGACTGTAATCCCAGCACTTTGGGAGGCCGAGGCGGGTAGATCACTACGTCAAGAGATGGATACCATCCTGGTCAACATGGTGAAACCCGGTCTCTACTAAAGATACAAAAAATTAGTTGGGCATGGTGGCACATGCCTGTAATCCCAGCTACTCTGGAGGCTGAGGCAGGAGAATTGCCTGAACCCAGGAGGCAGAGGTTGCGGTGAGCCGAGATTGTGCCATTGCACTCCAGCCTGGGTAACAAGAGCAAAACTCTGTCTCAATAAATAAATAAATAAATAAATAAATAAAATAAAGATTGTGACATATTCTTGGCCCAGGTGTGAGAATCAACATGTCCCCCAGGAACACTTCAGGACCTTCAACCTTCGATACGTCATCTCACAATGCAGAAAGGCCCCTCCAAACTCAGGAAGGAACAAGTGGCTGTTGGCTTTCTAGGATCAGCATGAGTTCACATTTAATATTGTGGTTATGTCCACTTAAATATCAAGATTGTTTCTTCAATTTAGGTGCATAACACTGACAACTTAGGGGTAATCATAGGTAATTTGATTTGAACCACAAAGTTTATTCAAATGGCATATCTAAAAGATTTTAGTACTGGCTAATTTAAGATAAAAATGGGGCAGAGGCCAGGTGTGGGGGCTCATGCCTGTAATCCCAGCACTTTGGGAGGCCAAGGCGGACGAATTACAAGGTAAGGAAATCGAGACTATCCTGGCCAGCATGGTGAAACCCTGTCTTTACTAAAAAATACAAAACTTGGCTGGGCGCAGTTGCTCACGTCTATAATCCCAGCACTTTGGGAGGCAGAGGCGGGTGGATCACTAGGTCAAGAGATCGAGACCATCCTGGTCAACAAGGTGAAACGCTGTCTCTACTAAAAATACAAAAATTAGCTGGGCATGGTGGTGCACGCCTGTACTCCCAGCTACTCAGGAGGCTGAGGCAGGAGAATCACTTGAACCCCAGAGTTGGAGGTTGCAGTGAGCCGAGATTACACCACTGAGACTCCAGCCTGGTGGCAGAGCATGACTCTGTCTCAAAAAAATATACATGGCAAAGTATTTTCCTGATGTTCAACTAATTTTTGCTTAGCATGAATGAGCAGTTTTATTAGTTAGTCTCATCATTAGACTTCTCACAATCCTTATTCAGTCCAAACAATATAATTTAAAAATTATCAGAAACCTGTACTCAAGTTGTCCGGGCTATTTCCATGCTTTCTTTAACCTCCTTACAGAACCAGTACTCTAGGATTTTGCATGCTTTTGAAGTTTATAGAGACTACATTAGAATTTTTAGGTGAGGTGGCTCACGCCTGTAATTCCAGCACTCTGGGAGGCCGAGACGGGTGGATCACGAGGTTACAAGCTCAAGACCAGCCTGGCCAACACGGTGAAACCCTGTCTCTAGTAAAAATACAAAAATTAGTTAGGCATGGTGGCACTTGCCTGTAATCCCAGCTACTCGGCAGTCTAAGGCAGAGAACTGCTTAAACCCAGAAGAGAGAGGTTGCAGTGAGTCAAGATCAAGCCATTGTACTCCAGCCTGAGTGACAGAGCAGGACTTCATCACAAAAAATATAAATAAATAAAATAAGGGCCGGGCACTGTGGGTCATGCCTGTAATTTTAGCACTTTGGGAGGCCAAGGTGGGTGGTTCACCTGAGGTCAGCAGTTCAAGACCAGCCTGGCCATTATGGTGAAACCCCATCTTTTTTTTTTTTTTTTTTTTTTTTTGAGACAGTTTCACTCTTGTTACCCAGGCTGGAGTGCAATGGTGCAATCTCGGCTCACTGCAATCTCCGCCTCCTGGGTTCAGGCAAGCCTCCTGAGTAGCTGGGATTACAGGCAAGTGCCACCATGCCTAACTAATTTTTGTATTTTTAGTAGAGACAGGGTTTCACCGTGTTGGCCAGGATGGTCTCGACCTCTTGACCTCGTGATCCACCCTCTTTGGCCTCCCAAAGTGCTGGGATTACAGGATTGAGCCACCGTGCCTGGCCAAAACTTCATCTTATAAAAATAAATACATAAATAAATAAAATAAAAAGAAACTACATCAGAATTAAACCATTAACTATACAAATGACTGTATTTATTTATTTATTTATTTATTTATTTTTGAGATGGAGTTTCGCTCTTGTTACCCAGGCTGGAGTGCAATGGCAAAATCTTGGCTCACTGCAACCTCCACCTCCTGGGTTCAGGCAATTCTCCTGCCTCAGCCTCCTGAGTAGCTGGGATAACTGGCACATGCCACCGTGCCCAGCTAATTTTTTGTATTTTTAGTAGAGACAGGGGTTTCACTGTGTTGACCAGGATGGTCTCGATCTCTTGACCTCGTGATCCACTTGCCTAAGCCTCCCAAAGTGCTGGGATTACAGGCTTGAGCCACTGTGCCCAGCTACAAATAACTTTAAATAATTATGAAGAAACAAGTGAAACAAAAATAAACATAATAATGACTAATGACTTATACTGAAATAAATGATTTTTAGAAATTTCATACAACTGTGGAATAAATATTAATAATATATTTATTAAAATAGAAGTTGAAGATCAAACATTATCTCTAATTCAACAATGTTTTTCATGTAATTTTCTTTTCTTATCAAGATGGGGTTTCACCATCTTGGTCAGGCTGGTCTTGAACTCCCGACCTCAGGCGATCTGCCTGCCTTGCCCTCCAAAGTGCTTGGATTACAAGCGTGACCCACCACACCCGGCCGTTTTTCATGTAATTTAACATATCAAAT